TTTTGTTCCTTAAAAAGAAAAAATAAAATTGACAAACCTTTAACTAGGCTCATCAAGAAAAAAGAGAGAACCTGGTAAATAACATAAATGAAAGGAGAAATGACAACTGTACCACAGAAATACAAAGGATCATAAGAGAATACTATGGACAATTATATGTCAACAAATTTGACAACCTAGATAAAAGTCAGTAAACTCCTAGAAACATATAATCTTCCAAGACTGAATCATGAAGAAATAAAAAAAATCTGAATAAACTGATAGCTGGTAATAAAATTGAATAATTACAAAAAAAAAAACCAAACAAACAGCAAAAGTCCAGGTCCAGATGGCTTCACAGGTGAATTTAACCACACATTTAAAGACAAGTGAACACCTATCCTTCTCAAGTTATTCCAAAAAAAAATTAAAGAGGAAGGGATCCTTCTAAACTCATTTTCCCCTGATACAAAAACAAAAGATGGTACAAGAAAAAAAAGAAGTACAGGCCAATATCCCTGATAACATAGATGCAAAAATCTTCAACGAAGTATTAATTAGCACACCAAATTCAACAATGCATTAAAAGGATCATACACCAGGGTGCCTGGATGGCTCAGTTGGTTAAGTGGCTGCCTTCAGCTCAGGTTATGATCCCAGGGTCCTGGGATCGAGCCCCACATCGGGCTCCCTGTTCAGCGGGGAGCCTGCTTCTCCCTCTCCCTCTGCTGCCCCCCCTACTTGTGCTCTCTCTCTTTCTGTCAAATAAATAAATAAAATCTTAAAAAAAAGGATCATACACCATCATCAAATGGGATTCATCCAGGGATGCAAGGATAGTTTAATATCTGCAAATAAATGTGATACAACATATCAACAAAATGAAGGATAAAAAAATCACATATTATCTTAATAGAGTCAGAAAAAGTATTTGACAATAAAAATTCTGAACAAAGTCTGTATAGAGGAAATGTACTTCAACATAATAAAGGCCATATATGGCAAACCCACAGCTGACATGGTAGTCAACATGAAAAGCTGAAAGGTTTACTCTCAGATCAGGAGAGGACAAGGATGGCCACTCTCCCCACTTTTATTCAACATAGTTTTGGAAGTCCTCGCCACAGCAATTAGGCAAGAAAAACAAATAAAAATATACAAATTAGAAAGGAAGAAGTAAAACTGTCACTATTTAAAGATGACATGATACTATATATAGAAAACCCTAAAGCCTTCACCAAAAAACTATCAGAACAAATGAATTCAGTAATGTTGCTGGATACAAAATTAATATGCAGAAATCTGTTGCATTTCTGTAGACTAATAACAAACTAAAAAAAATTAAGAAAAAAAATCCCATTTACAATTGCATCAAACAGAATGAAATACCTAGGAACACATTTTTTAAAAAGATTTTATTTATTTATTTATTTGACAGAGAGAGAGAGAGAGAGCATGAGCAGGGGGAGGAGCAAAGGGAGAGGGACAAGCAGACTCTGTGCTGAGCATGAAGCCTGACATGGGGTTTGATCTCAAGGGCTTGATCTCATGACCCTGAGAATATGCCCTGAGCTGAAACCAAGAGTCAGATGCTGAACCAACTGAGCCTACCCAGGTGCCCCAGTGAAAGATCTATATGCTGAAAATTATGAGACATTGATGAAAGAAATTGAAGATGACACAAATAAATGAAAAGACATACCATACTCATAGGTTGGAAGAATTATTATTATTTAAATGCCCATACTACTCAAAGCAATCTACAGATTCAATGCAATCCCTACCAAAATACCAATAGTATTTTTCACAGAACTAGAACAAATAATCCTAACATTTGTGTGGAACTGCCAAAGACCCAGAACAGCAAAGCAATCTTGAGACAGAATGAAGTTGGAGGTATCATGCTTCTAGATGAAACTATACTACAAAGCTAGAGTAATGAATACAGTATGTTACTTGCACAAAAACAGACACATAGATCAATAGAACAGAATAGGGAGTCTAGAAATAAAGCCATGCTTCTATGGCCAATCTATAGCAAAGGAGGCAAGAACATACAATGTGGAAAAGGTAATATCTTTAAAAAGCGGTTTGGGAGGGATGCCTGGGTAGCTCCTCCAGTTAAGCAACTGTCTTTGGCTCAGGTCATGATCCCACAGTGCTGGGATCGAGCCCCACATCAGGCTCTCTGCTCATTGCGGAGCCTGCCTCTCCCTCTCCCTCTGCCTGCCGCTCTGCCTGCTTGTCTTCTCTTTCTCTCTGTGTCAAATAAATAAATAAAATCTTTTAAAAAATTTCTAAAAAAACAGTTTGGGAAAACTGGGCAGCTACATGCAAAAGAATGAAACTGGACCACATTCTTACACCATATTCAAAGATAAACTCAAAGAGGATTACAAACTTAAATGTAAACCCGAAACCATAAAAATCCTAGAAAACACAGGCAGTAAGCTCCTTATCACTCTCAATATTTTTTGGATATGTCTCCTCAGGCAAGGGCAAAAAAACCCAAAATAAACAAATGGGTCTACTTCAAACTAAAAAGTTTTGGCACGGGCGCCTGAGTGGCTCAGTTGGTTAAGCGACTGCCTTCGGCTCAGGTCATGATCCTGGAGTCCCTGGATCGAGTCCCGCATTGGGCTCCCTGCTCGGCAGGGAGTCTGCTTCTCCCTCTGACACTCGCCCATCTCATGCTCTCTCTGACTCTATCTCATTCTCTCTCTCAAATAAATAAATAAAATCTTTAAAAAAATAAAAATAAAAAAAATAAAAAGTTTTGGCATAGTGAAGGAAACCATCAATAAAACAAAATATAACCTACCAAATGGGAAAAGATACTTGCAAATTATATACCTGATAAGGGGTTGACATCCAAAATCTATAAAGAACTCATACAACTCAATAACAAAAAGCAAACAACTCAATTAAAAAAAAAAAATGGGCAGAGGACCTGAATAGACGTTTTTCCAAAGAAGACACACAGATGGTCAACAGACATATGAAAAGATGCTCAGCATCACTAATCATCAGTGAAATGCAAATCAAAACAATAATGAGATACCCACCCCACACCTGTTAGAATGGCTATTATCAAAAAGAGAAGAAATGACAAGTGTTGGTGAGGGTGTGAACTGTTGGTGGGAATGTAAATTGATGCAGCCATTATGGAAAACAGTATGAGAGTTCCCCCAAAAATTAAAAACAGAACTACCATATGTTCCAGAAATTCCACTTCTGCATACTTATCTGAAGACAACAGAAACAGTAATTCAAAAAGCTATATGTGGGCGCCTGGGTGGCTCAGTTGGTTAAGCGACTGCCTTCGGCGCAGGTCATGATCCTGGAGTCCCTGGATCGAGTCCCGCATCGGGCTCCCTGCTCCGCAGGGAGTCTGCTTCTCCCTCTGACCCTCCTCCCTCTCATGTTCTCTGTCTCAAATAAATAAATAAAATCTTTAAAAAAAATAAAAATTTAAAAAAAAAGCTATATGTACCCCTAAGTTTGTTGTGGCATTATTTACAATACCCAAGATATGAAAGGAACCTAAGTGTCCACTGATAGATGATAGATGCATGGGTAAAGAAGATTCAGTGTGTGTGTGTGTGTGTGTGTGTGTGTGTGTATATAATATTACTCAGCATGAAATGTAGCCATTTTCAATAACATGGATGGACCTAGAGGGTATTATGTTAAGTGAAATAGGTCAGAGAAAGACAAATACCATATAATTTCATTTATATATGGAATCTAAAAAAAATAAATAAAACAAAACATAAACAGCCTTACAGATACAGAGAACAGGTGGTTGCCAGAGGGGAGGCAGGTGTGGGGAGGGGGCAAAACAGGTGTAAGGGAAAGAGAGGCACTAAGTTCTAATTATAAAATAAATAAGACATGAGGATGTAATGTACAACATAGGGAATAGATGAATAGTACTGTAATAACTTCGTATAGTGATAGATGGCAACTAGACCTACGGCGCTGATCATTTCGTAATGTATAAAAATACAGGTACTATCTCGTACACCTGAAACTAATACAATATTGTGTGTCAACTATAATTCAATTAAGAAAAGACCAGATGAGGGGGTGGAGGGAGAAGGTATGTGGGAAATCTCTGTACCTTTCACGTAGTTTTGCTGTGAACCTAAAATTTCTCTAAAAGAAAAAATTCTATTTTAAAAAAACAACCTAATATTAAAAAAAGAAGAAAAAAAAAGCCCAGACGAGAGCACCACGTTAAACACAGAGAAGACTACAGACATATTGCATAGGGCTAGAGTGAGGGGTTAATAATATTTATCCAACTTCTGCTTCCAGATTTCCTCCCAGTGTACGAAGGAACCAGGTGCCCTGGTCAACCCCCCGTGCTGCACAGAGTCTCATTACCCGCCCCCCCCCCACACACGCCCAAGGTAAAGTTCCAGCTGGCAACTCTTATGCCTTTCACTGACGGAGGGATCAAGTTTTGGAGCCCTCAGATGCTCAACAGGTGTGTAAATGACGGAGGCCAGGCGCCTGCGGCTTTTCTTCTCCCCGAGGCCAGGGCGGCCCCCCAGGCAGCACTCTCTCCCTCTCGGCTGCAGAGGGAGCACGGGAGGTACCCTGCGCTCCCGACGCCAACGGAACGAGCGAGGGGGCGGGGCTAGGGGCGGGGCGGGGCGGGGCAGGGCCAGGGAGTGGGGCGGGACGTGGGGCGGGACGTGGGACGGGGCGTGGGGCGGGACGTGGGGCGGGGCGTGGGGCGGGACATGGGGCGGGGCGTGGGGCAGGGCAGGGCCAGGGAGTGGGGCGGGACGTGGGACGGGGCGTGGGGCGGGGCTAGGGGCGGGGCGGGGCAGGGCAGGGCCAGGGAGTGGGGCGGGGCGCGGGGCGGGGCGCGGGGCGGGGCGCGGGGCGGGGCGCGGGGCGGGGCGCGGGGCGGGGCGCGGGGCGGGGCGCGGGGCGGGGCGCGGGGCGGGGCGCGGGGCGGGGCGCGGGGCGGGGCGCGGGGCGGGGCGGGACGCCGGGAGTCCGCGCGCCGCAGTTTAAGCGCGCCGAGGGGGAGAGCGGGTTCCTGGAAGCTTTTGGAGCCGCGCGAGGCAGCCGCAGGTGGGACCGTTACCCGCCCGCAGCTGGGAGCGAGCGGAGCGGCCGGAAAGGAAGCGTGCCTGTCCACCATGATCCCCCTGGAGAAGCCCGGCAGCCGCGGCTCCCCCTCGGCCGCCGCCTCCGGGTCGGGCCGGGCGGGCAGGAGTCTGGGCGCGCCGCGCCGGCCGCCGCCCCCACCTCAGGCCCGCGGGCTGCTGACGGAGATCCGCACGGCCGTGCGCACCGAGCCCTTCCAGGACGGCTACAGCCTGAGCCCGGGCCGAGAGCTGGGCAGGTGAGGGGGGCGGGGGACCGGCGGCCGATAAGTGCCGGAGGCGGGCGGGCGCGGTGGGGGTGGCGGGGCCGGGCCGGTGGCGCGCGCGGTGACTTGGCACAAACGTGGGTGCGGGCGGCGATCGGGGCGGCCGAGTCGCACCAGCCAGCCCTCCGCGCGCCGGGGCTTGTTCCCAGAGCCGGCGAGGCGCTCCCCGGCGTGTGGCTTTCACTTGGCGGCGGGTGTGAGGAAGTCCCCAACGGCGGGTTACCGAGCCCGTAAGGCCCTTTCAGCCTCTGAGGTTTTTACACGGCAGGGTAGCGCGGGGGGCGTGTGAGCCAAGCTGCCTGTATTCCCCGAGCTAGTGAGTCCGAAGGAAACCCGGAGCTGCAGAGGCAGCTTGGCCCTTCGAGGCGCGTGTGTTCTCCGCCGCCGCCTCTGGCTGCAAGAAGGGAGAACATCAGGCGTGACAGCTTCCGTTGCCGCAGTGCTGTGTGAACTTCTCAGCCTTGGGCCGACTTCATTTTCGGTTTCTTGGTTTTGCGCGGTTTTAGTTCTAAAATATTTAGGTCTCTGGGGCTTACGTTCAGACTGGCTTTATTCGGAGGCTCTTGGCCCTTGCATCGCTCCTTCTACTCTGCTGTGAGCTGGCCCTTGTCCTCTCCTCCCCACGCCGCCCTTCATTTGGCCTCTCTGTAAAACTGTAAAAGGCAAAGGCAGTTTGGCTCCTTTACAGTTAGCATGTTGAAGAGGGGTGGTAGAGCGATAGGGGTTGGGGGACTGACTCCCCTTTTCCTTACGAGCATTTGGGAGAAGTTGTCCGAAGCACCGGTTTTGGAGTCGGACGCGAGCGCATAAGCCCGGCCTGCTTGCTCTGTGTGCCTTCGGGTGGGTGCCTTCGACTCCCCGCCTCGTGTTTCTCACCTATAAAATCAGTACAATGACAGTGCCTACCTATCTCATGGGGGTGTCGTGCAGCTGACCTGCCCGAAAAGCCCATGCTGCGGGGCCTGGCACGTAGCATCCAGTGAAGGTTAGCTGTGGTCGCAAACAGTTGTCAGGGCTGCAAAATAATGGGGAACGGGCCTGGCAGTTATGACTGCCTTCATCTGGGGTCTTGGAAAAGGAGGGTCTTGTAACATTGGTTGCAAACAGTATTAAAAATGCTCTCTGTGTATTAAGCTGGCTTTTAGAAATAGGGGTTGGTGTTTTGTTTGTTTATTTTTTTGGAGGGGAATCTACCTTAAACGTGTCACACTTACTCCAAATGTTAACGAAAGGAAAGATATCTTTCAGAACAAGATACGCTTCCCTATAGTGGGCACTAATTAACTCGATCTGTACACAATCTAAATATGACCAAGAAGGCCTAGAGAGCTACTGACTCAGCTAGGTATTCTAAATCATCGAAATTCCAGACATTCTGCAGTAGCCCTGATCTCTCGAAAAAGGACAACTAAGACGGTCTGTTATTTGGTTGTCTGGCTTCATTCCACAAAAGGAAAACTGGTCTTACAAAGCTGAAATATCTTCAGGTGGCAAGCACTGTCTTGTAGAGTTTATAATAATAATGATTTGATCTGAAAAAACTGATTTATACCCTACCAGGTGTTGATACTAATTCCTCCGGGAATGTTCTTTTCAATTCTTGTTTTTATCTATTATAAAATTCACTTGCCTGTAGGTATTTGTTTCATCTTTTACATATATGTTACATATATTTATATGCTTACATAAATTTGCTTACAAAAATAATAACTCCTGAAGCAGCATAACAATGCAATTAGATAGCTACTTGATATAAGAGCCTAAAACTGAAAACAAAATTAATGTACTTGCTTCTTTTTGGTTCCTTTTGCGGGGCGGGGGGGGGGGGAGGCACGGAGAAGTTTAATGCAGTGGTGAAGACCATGGGCTTTGGAGTCAGGCTCTGGCTGAATCTTAGTTCTCTACTTATTAGTTATGTGTACTTGAGTAACTTACCTAACCATTTATTGTCTCATAGTTGTGGAGAGAATTAAATATAGCATTAAGGCTGTGCCTTTCTTAGGGGGAGCACTCCAAAAATACAACTCCTTGTTTAACAGTAAATGTTCTTTTACATGTAACCAGAAAGCAAAAATAAGAAAATCTGTACAACCTTATGCTTCTATCTGTGGCAAAAGTGATGAAATCTCATTGCAAAACACACAGGAACTATTTAGAACTCTTAGGAAGCAAAAGTTCTGTTTGTGTTTTTAGCAGTCTTTTGTTGAAGGTTTATAAATTTTGCCTGTATATTATGGTTCTGACATAGTAGTTTATTCATAACCTTTTCTGTAATAAGAAAGTTCTTTTTTTCCAACTACGAACTGTGGTTGCATTTCTCATATAACTAATTGATCTCACTCTGATATAGAATTTACAAAATTACCTATGTTACATTCTAATGATGTAGTAGGAAAAACAGAAGATCTATTTGTTATATTCTGTGGCCTTTCATTTAGTCAAAAATGTTGAAGAGGTGTGAAGAGCTAACTGTTCAAATGAAGAAACTGAGTTCTTTAAGAAGTTACCATTATTTTATCTTATAGAAAATGAAAGCTTTCAGTGAAATGGTTGAAGAGAATTTTTGAAATGGTCAATTTTGGTTCTATAGTAATGACAGGATGTGAGGTTGATTATTTTTAAGAAATGTCATGTCATATTCTTTCATGTCTCCAGCAGGTCCATAGCAACTTAAATGTGGGTAAATATGTGATGTAAAATTTTCTTTTGCTTGAAGCTTGACTTGTTATTCCTAAAGCTTGTTACCTTTCTTTGAGTCAGGATAAGTGCCAGTGTAAACCACATTAATGATTATAGGTACGGGAGACATGACCTTGGGTTCTGAGAATTTTTTCATAATGTTGATTTCCCTTGAGTTTGAAAGTACAGGAACAAAAATGTTTCTAGAAATTTAAAATAATACTAATTTCACATTGACTGATTTGCTTTACATGTGTTTTCATTATCTAGTACTCAACTTAAACATTTTTTAATGCATATATAAATTTTATCTTAAGAAAAAAAGGATTTTTAAAGCCAAAAGAGCATCTTTTGTTTGCTAAATTATTACGTGCTGATAGTTGAATTTCCGTATGAGACAAAAAAATATGAATTCTCTGCTGAACGAGTATTTCATAAATACTTTACAGTTATACAAGTGCTTTCACATGTATTATTTAATTCTCCTCAAATGCATGTTTGGGGAGTCCCATTTTCTTTCTCTCTCTCTCTCTCTCTCTCTTTTTTTAAGATTTTATTTATGTATTGAGAGAGCTCAAGCAGGGGGAGCTGCAGAGGGAGAGGAAGAAGCAGGCTCCCAGCTGATCAGGGAGCTGGACATGAGGCTCAATCCCAAGACCCTGGGATCCTGACCTGAGCCTAAGGCAGACACTTAACTGACTGAGCCACCCAGGTGGCCCTGGGAAGTCCCACTTTCAATGAGAAAACCAAGGCAGAGATTGATTGAGTCTTATGAAAGACTGCTGAGCTGGAACTCTTTGAAATCCTTTCTATTATATGTCAGATACTGATCAAAGAATAATCTGCAGTCTGTCTTGTAGCTGAAGCAATTTCTCATAGTTTTTATGAGAGGACATGAGTTCCATGTTGGGACAAACCCTATGAAACTTCTGTGTCCTATAGTTGCCTCTTCAGTTGGGCCTTTTGGTAGATAGGGATGTTTCATCTCTTTCTCTTCAGAGCAGTTGAGAGTAACAGGAACAAGGAAGAATTTTTATCAGACAATAAGAGAATGTTCAAGCTGAAGGAGGGCAGGTATATTTCAGGAACTGTATGTTCTTTACCTGGATTCATGGCTGTAAATAATGGCCTCAGGTTTTTGTACCTTACAACTACTTGAGCATGTGTCATAAATTGTAATTCATAGTTTCTTTGGAAATTAAGACCCTTCTGGGGCATGTGGTTGGCTCAGACGGTTGAGCTGTTGACTCTTGATTTCCACTCAGGTCATGATCTCAGGATCTTGAGATCCAGCCCTGCATAGGGCGCTACGCTCAGTGGGGCGTCTGCTTGAGGATTCTCTCTCTCCCCTTCCTCTGCCCACCCCCCCAGCCCCCCACCCTCTCTCTCATATAAATAAATTTAAAAAAATAAATAAGACCCTTGGTAAGTAATATTGTCCATGTAGAAATTGCCTTGTTTTAGGATGGATATTATTTAAGATTTCTTTGAAGAGTATTTACCAACAGTTGTGTGTAATCTGGTATTTTTGGATTAAAAAAAAATTGGCTATGTTTGTGGTTCAGCAGTAGGGTTACTTAGGAAGTTCTAAGGCAGATAATTCATTGAGTCAACTGTTTTAATTTTGAAAAGTTGGGACTTATTTAAATCTTAATTTAAAATATACATAAACTTGGTGTGCCTGGGTGGCTCAGTCAGTTAAGTGTCTGCCTTTGGCTCAGGTCATGATCCCAGGGTCCTGGGATGGAGCCCTGCATCAGGCTGTCCACTCAGCGGGGAGTCTATATCACCCTCTCCCTCTGCCCCTCCCCCCATTTGTGTGCACGCCATCTCTCAAAATCTTTAAAAAAAATAAAATACAATCGCTTCTCAGCCTTTGGGCTAAGATCAAGTATAAAAAAATAAAATACATAAACTTAAGGATTTAATGAGTTTCAGCCTCTTTTTAAAGCTATATGTAACAATTTTATAAAATCGGATTATTGAACCAAGTGCATTAGAAAGCTAAGTAGCTATAGCCATTGATTTACTTATTCAGGTGAAGAAGAAGGAACTACATATATTGAGGGAAATTTTGCATCAGGTAGAGAGTTCAAGTTAGACCACCTTCAAAACTCCTCTGTTCTAGGATTCTTTTTTACAAATTACTGTCATTATCATAGATCTGAAGTTTGTGCCTCAAACAATAAAAATAGCTACTGATTACTGATCATTTGCTGAATGCTATATGCTGTAGAGATGTAATTTTTTTAGTATTTACTATCTTCTTGCAAGGGTAAGTGCCATCAACCTAA